TATCCTTGAGAGGGTACTCGAACAAAAACAGTGTGTTTCTACAGACACCTCATATAGGTTTATCTGAAGGTATCGCGAACGAAATTCCTTTAGAGCTATATGGAAGGTCTATAGATGTCCTTAATCTCAAAAATGTTTCGAGTTCAACGTTGAATGGTAAGTGTGCATGCAAAGGGTAACTATACCTATCTACTATACTATATAAGGGACTCCAGTACTGCTTATGATGATTTGCGATTAATTATTTTACAGATTTACGTCTTTAATTATCTAACGTTAACCAGTGCCTGTGTCACACCATTTATGGACATTGTTACGATTGAAGATTAATTAAGGCGGGATTCGAAGATCAATCGATATTCGTGACTTCTCCATTGCGCCACAGTTGATGTCCCCTATCCGCCTAAGTGAAACTAAATTGAACTAAGGTCAATTAAATAATCCCATAACAATTAATAATTTTAGAGGAAATTGCACGAAGTCCTAGTATTATGAGCACCTATTGTACGATGAATTGTCTTTACAAACGTAACTGCGGTGCACAACGGAGCATAAAAACGTATCTTAAAGAGAGTGACCAAACAGCGGAGTCTGGTGGAATCGTAAGATCCTTACACGATCGATTAGGTATAATAATAGAATTAGCTGAACTATTCCCAATTGCAATCTAAAGCACATCAACGTATCAGAGCAATGTAACGATCACGTTTTTTATATACGTACATTATCATCCCCGTATCAGAATACTTACTGTCTTGAGGGTGCAATAGAGACTGCGTAATCAAAAAATATCTACCCAATATTGCTTAGCATTACGCTAGATAGCTTACCTAACGGCACAAGATGGTATGAATGATATGGTTATAAGGTTTCACCGGTGACCGTCCACTACAGCTTGATGTATTACACAACAGGTCATACAAACGTCAAATTTGTCATCTGTGTTTTACCAATTCCTTGGAGCATCAACAACGAGTACACACCTATGTGTGCCCTATACTTTGCGGCCCTTTGCTATTGATTGGATAACTCGTGGATTTGTTTGCCGAAGAATTCTGTCGGCTATTTGGCCCAGAATAGCCAGACAGGCCCATTTCCTCGATTTCCGAGAGTCATTCCGACTAACAACTTTTACATCGATCTAAACAACTGGAGGTCCGTAAGGACCTCCTGCGGCCAATAAATTTTCCAGCCTCACTGTAAAATAGTTTTTGGTACCTTTAATGCTTTATGCGGATAAGATCTATCATGCAGTAAAATCTCGCTGAATGACTTTGATCACCCGAAAACAACCTCCTCTGTTCAACCAACAGCTTAATTGACGGTCGTATTGTTGCACTGTTCGTCCAAAAAAACCCATCAAATTTCGCGCTTTCCGTCAAAAGCGAAAGTCCGCTTTTCATCCCAAGTAACAACTCTACACAGGGACTAATTTTTTCTTGCTCACTAAATAAAACGAGTAAGGAACAGTATCGTGCCTGTTCATTTAGTCCCTGGGGGGCTTGCTTTGCGGCCTTGTGTATACTTCTTGTAATACGCAGATAATTCAAGACTGCTTATCGGGTCACCCCCGACTGATCAGCAGTTTCCTGGCCAATTTCTACTGGATTTTTATCCCCAATGCTTGAAGCTCGTTATTCCAAAATGACCAGGTACGTCCAGGCCGTGGACCATCATTTAGAGGAAAATGTTCTTTATAAAATCCGGGACACCAGTTATTAGAGGCTACAACAAGCACCGAACGATCACCCGAAACTTTTTTTTTTTTCATACAATGCTTACTTGCATTTGGAAAACTAAGTGCCTTGAGAGACTTTTTTGAAATTCCATTTTTATTGATCTCAGCTATCGGCAATAAATGGCCTAGATATCTCTACGTAGAACACGTTCCAAAGACCTGGATCAGGTCCAGTTTTAAGGCAGTATTTTTCCCAGAGCATGAGCACTAGAACAATTAACTCTTAACCTAAAAGCGATTTAGACACCTAATGTACAGCACATCTATACTGCTTTGTAAGCCTTACAAAACGCATTTATTGATCCTGTGAACACTATATGATACGCAATGATTCTTTTTACGTATATTTATTCAATATCTACCTCATATTCGCGCAAGCTCATATACTTACGCAATAGCAAACACATGCCCAAAAGTCCCAAGCAGACCCTCTAAATAGCCGATAATTAGGGAAAGCAGTTGTGTCGCTGCTACCGCTACTGCAGTCGCCGCATCCGTTTTCCATCAATGAGATTTTCACAGTCGAACCGAGCGAGGTTAAGCCAGATCGAACTGAGTTGGGTCGAGCACCCATTGCGATTCGCCTGCGCTACCACCACTCTCTTCTGTCAACAGCGTGAGCTCATTCTCTGTCGCGCCGTCGCATTCCACCGTCAGAACCCATAGCGGCTGTCAGACACGCGACGGAATCAGATCTCTTTAGCTCACGCTGAGATGGTCACAGCTACTGCGAGCTTGTGTACGGCTAGAACAGCCGCTACGACAAACGAAGGGGCCGCTGCTGACGTTGCCTGCTATCGTTGCGCGGTTGTCGCTGCGGCTACCACCTAATTAAGTTATCCTCTCTGGGTGAGCAGTCTCTCATCATGCTTCCTCTCACCTCCACTGTGCCTCTCAATTAGGTAGAGATAAGAAGAGAATCTAAGGCGGGCCCCACGACGACACGCAGGGTCCCGTAGCAGGAAGCGATTGTGAAGCTGACCAGGCTAGACTGCCTTTAAGCGCGGACTGGTAGCTGTTATTGTTAGCTAGTTACGGACTCGTATATGCATTACAAAAGATGGAACAGTACGCACGAGGAAAAACAAGCCTTTAAACTAGAGAGTCACTCCGTGTAAAAGCGGCCTGTGTACATATACCTACACAAACGCACAAAGCCATATTGTTATAGAGAAATGTACGTATGTGCGCAGAACGTTATGCAATATGAAAACAGACTATTCGCAGGAAAACTATAAAAAGTCCCGAAGACGTTTCGTTATAACACCCCACTACAGCGGCAGTAAGTGGCTGAGTAGAACGTTCATGGCCACAGTGCTACTCCTGTAGCGCGACAACACTACCACCATAACACCCCACACCGAGAGTACAGTTCAGCGTGACATCGCGCACCCAGCGGCTGATACAGCCCCAATCTGCCGCAGCGCAAAGCCTTGCTGTTGTTCATGACCGCCTTCGCCCCTCTCCTGTTCTCCCCGCCCCTACCGAAGGCGGAGCTGTATCCTTGCTCCGGCCAATCAGCCGGCACGTGTTCCGCAAGCTCCGCCTGCGACAACTGATACGGCGAGCAATGGTGCTCAACGAGGCGCGACACGGCTGCCGTTACCGGATCGCTAAACATCGAACAAGCGCACTTTTAGCACGCCTGCTACTACTGACAATATTAGCTGGCGGGGTTGTCTCTATATATCGCGCGTGACTGCGTTGTGAGGTGAGTGTGTTTGTGTGTCTGCGTGCACCGGTGCTGCTGCTGCGCCTAACCTAAAGACTACTTTCTTTCCTTTATCCTTCGTGCTGTTGGTGCGACGAGGAGTACTGGTCTCTTGGTCGGTCCAGTGAGAGGTAGGTGGGTGCGTGCGTGCGTGCTTGCCTGCCTGCCTTCTGCCGGCTGGATCGTCTTTACTGGCGATGTTCATTTGTTACTTAGTTTCTGCTCGCGTAAAGTTGTACTGTCTAACTGGCCTGCTACCTACTTGACTGACTGCCTCGCTCCTGGTCGTCAGTCAGGCAGTCGCTCGTTATCTTCGGGCCGACAGTGGACCGGTGGCGTTGAGAGCAGCTTCGTTGAGTCGCATATGCACAGCCGAGCTGTTTCGTCCACTATTTTGTAAGCTTCTGTCTGCTTCTTTTTTAAAACTTCGGTTATACGCTTGCGTGAGGGTTACGTTGTGAGACGGCAACCAAAGCAAAACATCAACAGTGACAGTAGATAATAACCATGACATTGGAGACTGCGCGAATGAATAGCATTATACAATAGTTAAATGAGGTGCCTGTGATCGTACCCGAGTGAATCATCTGTGTAATCGTCCATGTGTCTCGTAAAGGGTGGGGTGAAATCGAGTTCGCGCGCGAACGTTAACGGGCAGCGCATGAAGCAACCATAGCAAACTAGGAATAGTGCAATTACTATCAAGAGAATGGTCGCGCAATAAAGAAGTGCGATTAGGCCGTGTTGCCGCAGATTATAGACTTTTCAGACTTTCGGGCCGCTGTCGTCCTATGCGGGCCATCAATTAAAGATACGCTCGAATTCATATCTGTCTCTACGGGCGAAACTCTACAGCTTAAAACGAACAGCTTGACGCAGCTAGTCCAATTGGGTTACTCGGGAAGAGCTCAAGAATACGCGAACAAAAAAGGGGAAAGGCAAGAAAAGATGGGCAGCTACCAACGAAGATAACCCATCGGGATGTTGAAGGTGAGACTGATAAAGCGATAACGAAAAACTTGTTTCATTTCCTGGGACAAAGAAGGCGATTCTGCTTAATCTGGCCTTGTTCAGAAAAGCGTTAGCAAAACGCGCTAGCAACATCGTTGGTAGCGCACCCAACAACAAGCAGTACTCAACCCCACATCCCCAAGATAGCAAGAGCAAGGTTTAACAGTATTGAAAAGCGTCATGCCGTCTTAACAGTACGACGCAATCCATACACTAGCATATAGTCTCGTACTACGTCAGAAAGAAGTGATTTTACTTGTCAGTCGCTTTCTGAGTACGACTAGCACGCGAAGCGCCAAATACTCGCTCACCGTATGCTGTTCCTCTTTACAGGCTGTGAAATTTCGAAATGGTTGAATTGGCCTATCGGTATGCGACTAGGTGCGATTGTGTGAAAGGTGACCACTGATTATTAGTGTATTGGATAGGTCCTGTTGTTTTTGTCGCCAGTCGGTGCCCCGCAAAGGGGGTGAATTAATTTTCAGTCATCTGTTAGAAAAGGTTCTCCGATCGTTTAGCACTAAGGGACTACTAAATACAATGGAGGTGCGAGATCTGCGCATCCAGGAAACAACGCCAGAGAGCCTTCCTTCGGTGCCCACGGCCAATACGTTGTTCTCAATTGCCTCACTGATCTCGTCTTCGCACCGAAGCCCGTTTTCTTCACGGCCACCCGGACATCACCATCATCATAATCACCACGGAATTGAGTTTCCATTCCCGCACATTGATGTACGGGCCTATTATGAGACTCTCCAGAGAAACGTTGCCCTTAGTGGGGGACTGAATGTTAATTTAAGTGTAACTGGGGCCGTTTCCGGGGTTGCTGTCGGGGGGGACCGAGTTTTGGATCTCAGTACATCGTCGACACACATCCTACCAGACATCGATCGATCGAGTAGAGATGATGACATCATCTCGAGAGGTATGTGAAAACGACCAATTGCGATTTCTATGTACCTCGAATACTAACTGAATCCTAGTAGGTTATTATTTCACCCAATTAAGAACTTGCTGAGTATATATCATGGCGTGAATTACTTAATATGCACATAATTCAATTTACGCCGTAATCCACTATACAACATACTTACATTGACTGGATAACGGAACAGATAATGGCAAGTTACCGTAGTAGATTTCGGATTCGTTTGGCGGTGCAACAGAACCGATGATATACTAAATTGAGCTCTGTCTTAGAGGGAAATAGGTGATTGCATTACGGCTACAGCGCCTTAAAAAGTGGTCTTGCCTTTTCGCCTGCGAGCATCGCACGTGAATCCTTACTTTCGTCCACTGTATGATCGATGCAAATACGGGTTTACTTGTAACAAACAAACAAATATTAATAGCTTCACATTATCTGCTTTATTGTTGCTAATTCAGTCGTAAAGATGTAGAGTTGTTAATCAAGTTAGAGAAGTCTATTATACTTCTGTGCACACAAACTTCGAAGTTAGAATTGTGGGAACAATAAATAGATTTGGTCGCACGGAACTTAGCGGAAGTACCATGTTCACGATCCTTGAAAGGGTCTACTTAAACAGCTGTTACCATTGTGTAACAATCGTTAGCACTGCTCGTAAATGAGGCTGCGTCTCGTTAGAAGGATATGTACCGGATTACGTGCCGTGTCTCCCAATAGCAGTAGAATAAGCGAGTCCCAAATTCGGCCAGACTGGATAGTAGATGGCGATCCTATCTAGCTCTTTTATCTGGATGGAAAAATTGACCCTAATGGCCGCCCCCTTTTAACAAATATCTTCCAGCCCTTTAAAAACTACATTTTTTTTTCTACAAATTTGTCCTTTTAGTATATCGTAACATCGTATGTATGATATCAACGATATGTATGCTGTGAGATTTAAAATACGTCATTGAGTATGCCCAGTGTAGTATAGCCTGTATTGTATTTTGGAAACAATAGACATTCAAATATGAACGTGTCTATACACTGAGGTGGCGCCGTCACAGATATGAATTTATTGGCGCGACAGTTTCAACCAACTTTGAAGAATAATTATTTATATATTTATTAGATATCTATCTTCGTCTGGCTAATTTATATAAGCTATATATATATATATATATATATATATATGACATACAGTGACGTTTTGATAGAAGGAGTGTAATTTACTTATAACCGTTCGCTTTGATCGTCAAAAGTTGAAAAAGAATGATACGACATCGGACCACAGTCGGAAAATCGTTGCCCGTACTCAGTTTCGGCCAATTTGAAAATAGAGGAAATGTTCACATATCAGTTAACCTGCAGGCTTCAACACGGGTCTTGGCGAAAGATCATTTGATAAAACTGATAGACAAAGTAACCAGTAGATAGAACCGAAAGAAGACACAGGATCTTTAAGTAAGTATACAGGAAGGTATCCATCCAACCTATGGCTGACACGGAAGTGAAGAACAATCCAAATTGGTACCAAATTGTCTGTTGTGCAAATGTTACCTTGACATCGATTCCATTAGCTTTTATTGAGTGTTTAACTCTTCAACATTTTCCACCTTAGCATTATAGATTTGTTTCGTAATCTCGCATAATACCAAAAGTGTCCAACGTAGCTAATTCTCGTAAAAACACAGCAGGCAGATAAAACTTTAGTCCTAACCTGTTCGGTATTACCCTTAAGTAATACCGCTACTAGTGGAAAAAGTTAGTTTGTTAGTAATTGTTAATAAGTAATATCCTGGAGAATTAACTGACCGTTGATTTGATGGTGGATATTTGTTTGCGATTTACATGCACCGAAGTCACGTAACGTTGCCAATTGAAAAGCAACAATATAAACGGAGCAATTCTGCCCCGTTACGCAAATCGAACACGCTCTACGTAAACCTAGGCTAGTTATTCTCTCGTCACTTGCCACACCCTAGTTAATAACAGTATCCACAATAATAGGCGCGCTTCTCGTTTAAATTTTTTACTTGTTTTGCCCAGATCATTTGGCGGGCGACAAATCGTTGATGGTGAGCAAAAATAACACCCAGTCCGCGGCATATTTTTCACAAGGTTTAGTAGATATACGTAGATTCGGATCTAGATTCACTACGAAGGCTAAGCTTTATTCCGAAGGGTCTTGATACATAAGAGCATCCGCGGCAAAGTATGACGCTTCCGTGAACGTACATTAGTCGATGTTGGTGGTAGCTGTAGACGATAAGGGATTTCGGGTCGGGCGATACGTTGGTAACACTATGGAGGTTGATCGTCGAATCGGTAGATTGAGTAATCCATTGTTTTTTCAAGTTTTTAGTAGAAAAATTGTTCGTGGGCCATGTAAGCGGCAAACAAAATAAATCAGATACGTATGCTAATTCATTAGAAAAGAAGGTTCTCAGGTGAGAATGAATCTGCTCTGTTAATAGGGTCATATGTAAAAGAAAAATCTTCAAAAAAGCCAGTACTAGTAACTACTTGTTGCTTAGCATTTTTCATGCTTGGGAGAAAATATGACAATTAGCCGTGCCCGGAAGAAAAAGTCTGAAGTCTCTGAGTCATCGGCTAACCTTTCGATCTATGTATGCTCAAAGAATTACGACAATGATGAATGTTACGAAATCAATCATCGTGCTGCGCCGAACAAAACAATACATTGTCAAGTGGAGGACATTTTTTCAGGCCGATGACGCGGAAAAAACACTTGAGATCGTTTTGCTTGCGACTAATCCGAACTATTATTCTTGTATGAAGTGTTAGTAATTGTCCATTTGTCATATAAAGGAATCCCTTGAATCTCCCCTGACTGCTTGAGTAGCAAAACAAGAGAGACCGGAGAATTTGCTGGCATTTTTAATTAATAATAATGCTTCCATAGTATAACTAAATTATTATTACCTATATATTATCACGTCCTTAATAGGATTCATTTAGGCAGCGTTGCTATTGGCTACACCCAGTCTTAGACAGTGCTCAAGCTTGTTAGTTACGACCAGCGGATTAATGAAACAGGCATTAGTTAGACTAACTATGCTACATGCTATGCTGCCTGTAATAAAATCTGATCGGGACCGAATAGACTGGGAGACCTTTTTCTAACGCAAAAATATGAGCAGCATGTATAAACATTTAGGCTCATTAATTTACCAGCCCGCTGACAAGCACGCCCGACAGACGGAAAATGCGGCCGCAGAACGTACATCTCAGTTATATTTATCCCCGAAGAAATAAAATGGAAGTCTTTCTAAAGCGATCCCAGGACAACAAGTAATCATAACATTCTATGAAGCAGCTAGCTAGCTAAAGGCGAGTCACAATTACATTCGTAATTGACTGTGTAAGATACACTGAGCTTTATCGATCTCCCAGACGAAACATTAACGACGGATAGTATCGTAGTAAAAAAAAAACGTAAATATTTAGGGCTTTCTCCAACTTTTTTACTTTGCAGAACCAGTCCACCTTGGACACACATGTGCCTCGTAGGCCCACGCGCCACACGCTTCTGTAACGCAATTTTACATCACTTTATTTTACGAGACTCAACTTTGTATATCAGGCTATTCAGTCGCTCATGATATACACAACGTCCGTGCATTATTTAAATTCGAAAATAGGTACTGACAAAGTTGGAGATACATACGCAAAACGCACTACCCTTAAATGGCAGTGTGAGAAGAAAAAGCTAGAAATTTTACATATTCTAAATATATTCAGCGTCATTGACTAGCAGGCGTTCGAACGTATCAACAAGCGTATCCCGAGCCCCAATAAAAGGCTATGTTGGACATTATCGAAGTGGATGCCACATTTCACGAGAACGTTTTACCAAAATTTATCGTCAAAAGGCAGTGTGCTTTACATAGAAAATATCTTGTGCGCTATACGGGAAATCATGAAACAATAAGTAAAAAAAAATATGTATATATATATATATATATATATATATATATGGAGCATGGCATATGCATATCTTCGCCGTTGCAACAACACTTTCAAACGAAGTGGGTCATCACTAAATGAATTGTTGGGCTGATGCGTCGTTCGAGAGTTGGCAAGCTGACTTGTTCTCGTTCCTCCTTGTAGTCGCCATTCTAAATGAAGCTAGATCGAAACCGGCAGTTCTCCGCAATAGATATGTTTACCATGATCTGTTGTCGTAGTATATTCTCTGATGGCCTTAGACGAGGACCTTTTGTTTGCTTTTATTGTTACTTCGATCATGCATCGAATTTGCTTTTCCGTCATAACCAGAACATTGTCTTCTGTGAATCTGTCAGAGCATGAACCGCTTCGTGATACTTGCAGAGTATGTCTATGAATTACTCATATTCCACAACCCGATCACAGATGCCTTCCATAACGACTTAACACGTACCTGGCAGTTATCTATATTATTATATGGCATAGACACGCCGTTGTCATCTGTTGATATTAATTAATGCGACTGCGTAATGAAATATGCATCTAGCTGGGTCGTACCGGGACTAGTCTGTTGCAATGGTAACTACAATTTCCAACGTGGCTATAGTCTCCGAGCTTCAATCAGTTCTCCCGAACACATGCAAAGCAGTTTGTAACCCAGTTGTTAGATATCTGTAGTTCTGGTCGTCTTATCTACACGTGACAATGACGATCAGTGCTGTGGATATCCCAAGTCCTCGTGCAAAGTTTCATTCTGTAGAATTCACATATATGTATATATATAATATGATACTAGGTTTACACAGAATCTACTGCCCTATAGATGTCCTATAAGGAGATGACTACCAGACCCATACGTCGCTCATGACAGCACGATACCATTATAGAAAGCGGTAGAAAATTTTCTTCGGTTCCACTCGCGTCTGTTGGACGAGAGTTTCTCCAACTGGAAAAGACACGGCAGGTATCGGACTTGCCTAGTGTCTATCGTATCATTTCCCATATCATTCGCTGTCATTCAAAGTGGGATCAAGCGGAGATTTAGG